CACTTTGACACTGTTGGTGGGAGTGTAAATTAGTTCAACCATTGTGGAAGAGAGTGTAGCGATTCCCCAAGGGCCTAGAAATAGAAATTCCATTTGACCCAGCAATCCCATTACTGGGTATATATCCAAAGGATTATAAAGCATTCTATTGTAAGGACACATGCACACGAAAGTTTGTTGTAGCACTGTTTACAATAGCAAAGACTTGGAACCAACCCAAATGCCCATCAACGATAGACTGGACAGGGAAAATGTGGCACATATACACGATCGAATACTATGCAGCCATAAAAAATGATGAGTTTGTGTCGTTTGTAAGGACATGGATGAACCTGAAAACCGTCATTCTCAGCAAACTGACACAAGAACAGAAAATCAAACACCATATATTCTCACTCATAGGCAGGTGTTGAACAATGAGAACAGGGGAGGGGAGAATCACACACTGGAGTTTGTGTGGGTGGAACTAGGGGAGGGACAGTGGGGGTATAGAGTTGGGGAGAGATAACATGGGGAGAAATGCCAGATATAAGTGATGGGGAGGAAAGCAGCAAACCCCATTGCCATGTATGTACCTATGCAACAATCTTGCATGTTCTTCACATGTACCCCAAAATCTAAAATGCAGTAAAATATATATATTAAAAAAAGAAAACAAATGGAAAAAATTTCTTAATAGTGGAACAAGTACCAAAACCTATATGATATCATGAAAGCAGTACTAACAGAGAGGTTATGTTAGCTATGAGTGTTTGCATCAAAAAGGAGGCAAAACTTTATAAACAGCCTAACATTGCAACTTAAAAAATTAGAAAAGCAAGAGCAAACCAAACCCAAAAATAATTGAAGAAAAGGAAACAAAGATCAAAACAGAAATAAATGAAATTGAAATAAACAAAACAATACGAAAAATCAACATAACAAAAACTTGGTTTTTTGAAAAGTTATACAAAATTGACAGATCTTTAGTAAGACTAATAAAAAATAGAGTGGACAAAAATAATAATAACAGAGAAGAAAAAGCAATCACTTAAAAACAAGCAATGAAGAAAGGATTTCCTATTTAATAAAAGGTGCCGAGAAAACTAGCTAGCCATATGCAGACAATTGAAACTGGATCCCTTTTCTTACATCTTATATAAAAATCAACTCAAGATGGATTAAAGACTTAACTGTAAAACTCAAAGTTATAAAAACTCTACAAGAAAATCTAGGCAATACCATTGAGGAAATAAGCATGGACAAAAATTTTATGACGAAATCACTAAAAGCAATTGCAACAAAAGTCAAAATTGACAAATGGGATCTAATTAAGCTAAAGAGCTCTGTACAGCAAAATAAACTATCATCAGAGTGACAGGCCACCTACAGAATGGGAGAAAATGTTTGCAATCTACTCATTTGACAAAGGTCTAATATCCAGAATTTAAAAGGAACTTAAATTTACAGAAAAAAACAACCCCATCAAAAAGTGGGCAAAGAACATGAGCACACAATTCTCAAAAGAAGACATGTATGCAGCCAACAAACATATGAGAAAAAGCTCAACATCACGGATCATTAGAGAAATGCAAATCAAAACCACAATGAGATACCATCTCACATCAGTCAGAATGGTGATTATTAAAAAGTCAAGAAACAACAGATGCTGACAAGGCTGTGGAGAAATAGAAATGCTTTTACACTATTGGTGGTCATGTAAATTAGTTCAACCATTGTGGAAGACAATGTTGTGATTCTTCAAGGATCTAGAACCAGAAATACCACTTGACCCATCAGTCCCATTACTGGGTATACACTCAAAGGAATATAAATTATTCTATTGGCTGGGCGCAGTGGCTCAAGCCTGTAATCCCAGCACTTTGGGAGGCCGAGGCGGGTGGATCACGAGGTCGGCAGATCGAGACCATCCTGGTCAACATGGTGAAACCCCGTCTCTACTAAAAATTACAAAAAATTAGCTGGGCATGGTGGCGTGTGCCTGTCATCCCAGCTACTCAGGAGGCTGAGGCAGGAGAATTGCCTGAACCCAGGGGGCGGAGGTTGCGGTGAGCCGAGATCGCGCCATTGCACTCCAGCCTGGGTAACAAGAGTGAAACTCCGTCTCAAAAAAAAAAAATTATTCTATTATAAGGATACATGCACATGTATGTTTATTACAGCATTATTCACAATAGCAAAGACATAAAGCCTACCCAAATGCCCATCAATGATAGCCTGAATAAAGAAAATGTGGTATATATAAACCATGAAATATTTAACACACATTCAGAAAAAAAGATGAGATCGTGTCCTTTGCAGGGACATGGTGAAGCTGGAAGCCATTGGCATCCTCAGCAAACTAACGCAGACACAGAAAACCAAACATTGAATGTTCTCATTCATAAGTGGGAGTTAAACAATGAGAATACATGGACACAGGGAGGGGAACAACACACACTGGGGCCTCTCGATGGGGAAAGGGAAGGGAGAGCAACAAGACAAATAGTTAATGCATGCAGGGCTTGATACCTAGGTGACAGGTTGATAGGTGCAGCAAGTCACCATGGCACACATTAACAAACTTGCACCTTCTGCACATGTATCCCAGAACTTAAAGTAAAATTTTAAAAAGAAAAAGAAAAGAAAAAGCAGTCATTACAGCTTATCCTGCAGAAATTCAAAGATCATTAGAGGCTACTGTGAAAAACTATATACCAATTAATTGGAAAACCTATAATAGATGAATAAATTCCTAGCCACATATGACCCACCAAGATTGAAACATGAAGAAATCCAAAACTTGAACAGACTAAAAACAAATAATGAGACTGAAGCCAGCAAAGTCTAGGGGCTGGGCAAAGTGCCCCAGCAAAGCCTATAACCTGATGGCATCACTGTTAAATTTTACCAAACATTTAAAGAAGAAGTAATACTAATGCTACTCAAACTATTCTGAAAGACAGAAGAGAAGGGAATAATTCCAAACTCACTATACAATGCCAGTATTACCCCGATGCCAAAATAAGACAAAGACACATCAAAAAAAAAGACAATTACATACCAATATCTCTGATAAACATCGATGCAAAAAATCCTCAACCAATACTAGCAAAACAAATTCAATGACACATTTTAAAGTTATTCTTCATAACCATGTAAAATGTATCTCATAAATGAAAAGATGATTCAATATATGCAAATCAATCAATGTGATATAGCATATCAATAGAATGAAGAATAACAATCATATGATCACTTCAACTAATGCAGAAAAGAGTGTTTGGTAAAAATTCATCATTCCCTCATAATAAAAACCCTCAAAAAACTGGGTATAAAAAGAACATACTTCAACACAATAAAAGTCATATACAACAAACCCATGGGTAGTATCATAATGGGGAAAACCTGAAAACCTTTCCCCCAAGATCTGGAACACGACAAGAATGCCTACCGTCACCAATGTCATTCAACATAGTACTGGAAGTTCTAGCTAGAGCCACTAAACAAGAGATAGAAATGAAAAGCATCTAAATAGGAAAGGAAGAAGTTGAATGATATAATGATATAATCTCATATTTGAAAAACCTAAAGATGTCATTAAAAAACTATTCGAGGGCCGGGTGCAATGGCTCATGCCTGTAAACCCAGCACTTTGGGGGCCGAGGCGGGCGGATCACGAGGTCAAGAGATCGAGACCATTCTGGCCATGGTGAAACCCCATCTCTACTAAAAATACAAAAATTAACCGGGCATGATGGCACGCACCTGTGATCCCAGCTACTCAGGAGGCTGAGGCAGAAGAATCGCTTGAACCCAGGTGGAGGTCGCAGTGAGCTGTGAATTGTGCCACTGCACTCTCCAGCCTGGCAACAGAATAAGACTCCATCTCAGAAAAAAAAAAACTATTTGAACTGATAAATTCAATAAAGTTGCAGGAAACAAAATCGACATACAAAAATCAGTAGCATTTTTAGACGCCAAAAGTTAACAAGCTGAAAATAAAATCAAGAAAGTAATCTATCTCATTACAAGAGCTACAAATAAAATTAAATACCTAATAATTAATATAATCAAGAAAGTACAAGATCTCTACAATGAAAACTGTAAGTCTTTGGTGAAAGAAATTGAACAGGACACCAAATAATGGAAAGATATTTTATTTTCATAAACTGGAAGAATCAGTATTTTATAAATGTTCATACTACCCAAAGAAATCTACAGATTCAATGCAATCCCTATCAAAATACCAATGACATTCCTCATAGAAATAGAAAAAGAACTATACTAAGTTTATATGAAACCGCAAATGACCCCGGATTGTGAAAGCTATCTTGAACAAAAAAAAAAGAAACTGGAAAAATCACACTCATTACCTGACTTCAAATTTACTACAGCTATAGTAACAAAAACAGCATGGTACTGCCATAAAAACAGACATGTAGACGAATGCAGCAGGATAGAGAAGCCAGAAACAATTCCACCTACCTACAGTGAACTCATGCTTGATTTCATACACTGAGGAAGAACATACACTGGGAAAAAATGCCATCTCTTCAATAAGTGGTTCTGGGAAAAATTGATGTCCATATGCAGAAGAATGAAATTACACTCCTATCTCCATTTACAAAAAGCAGATCAAAATGGATTAAAGACTTAAATCTAAGACCTCAAACTATGACATTACTAGAAGAAAACATTGGAGAGACTCTCCAGGGCATCACTGTGGTCAATCATTTTTTGAGTAATACCCTACAACAACAGGCAACAAAAGCAAAAATTGACAAAAGGGATTACATCAAGTTAAAAGGTTTCTGTACAGCAAAGAATACAATCAACAAAGGGAACAGAACATCCACAGAATGGGAGAAAATATTTGCAAACTACCAATCTGACAAGGGATTAATAACCAGAATACACAAGAGCTCAAACAACTCTATGAGGGAAAAAATCAAATAAAGCAATTTTAAAATGGGCAAAAGATTTGAATAGACATTTCTCAAAAGAAGAAATACGTGCCCGAAGCCAGTGAGTCACGACGCCGTGCAACTGCAGGTGGGTCAGTGTCTCGCGCCGCTGGGTGGTTGCAGTGAGGCGCTGAGGGCCCTCAGGCCGGGCAGCGCGAGTGTACCCTGGTTCTTATGCTCCTAGGTCTTTGAACAGCCGCGATGTCGATCTTCACCCCCACCAACCAGATCCGCCTAACCAATGTGGCCACGGTACAGATGAAGCGCTCCGGGAAATTGCCTGCTATGGCCGGTGCTGGCACACTCACCCTTGCCCTTTCCCTCCGGTTCAGTACCTATTGTTTCTCCTTTCAAATATGTGATTGTACTAGCTCTTTCCATGTGAAAGAATCCTCCTTATTTAAATAAAAAAAAGGTTTTTTTTAAAAAAAAGGAAGAAATCGCCTGCTACAAAAACAAGGTGGAGTGGCATGGAAAAAGACCTTAATGAAGTTCCGCAGATGCACTCAGTGTTTGTAAATGTTTCTAAAGGTCAGGTTGCAAAGAAGGAAGATCTCATCAGTGCATTTGGAACAGATGACCAAACTGAAAGCTGTAAGCAGATTTTGACTAAAGGAGAGGTTCAAGTATCAGATAAAGAAAGACACACACGACTGGAGTAGATGTTTAGGGACATTGCAACTATTGTGGCAGACAAATGTATGAATCCGGAAACAAAGAGACCATACACCGTGATCCTCATCGAGAGGGCCATGAAGTACATTCACTATTCAGTGAAAACCAACAAGAGTACCAAACAGCAGGTTTTGGAAGTAATAAAGCAGTTAAAAGAGAAAATGAAGATAGAGCGAGCTCACATGAGACTTCGGTTCATCCTTCCAGTGAATGAAGGGAAAAAGCTGAAAGAAAAACTCAAGCCACTGATCAAGGTCATAGAAAGTGAAGATTATGGCCAACAGTTAGAAATCGTATGTCTTATTGACCCGGGTTGCTTCAGAGAAATCGATAAGCTAATAAAAAAGGAAAGCAAAAGCAAAGGTTCTTTGGAAGTGCACAATTTCAAAGATGTGGAAGAAGGAGATGAGAAATTTGAATGACATCCATCAATCTCCTTACCTCTAAAACACTAACGTGTTTTTGTTTCCCACAGCACTGTTTCATGTCTGTGGTCTGCCAAATACATGCTCAAACTATTTGACATTTTCTATCTTTGTGTTAACAGTGTATATAGCAAAGCTTTCCTACAGAAGCATAATAATGTGGGAATTATTAAGTTTTAATTATAAGCTGGGGTCTAAATCCTAAAGCAAAATTGAAACTCCAAGATGCAGAGTCCAGAGTAGCATTTTGCTACTCTGTCTCATCCCTTGATAGCTTTCCAAACTGAAAGTTATTTGAGGCAACTCTTGTGGGTAAAAAGTTATTTGTACAGTAGAGTAAGATTATTTGAGAGGTATTTCTATAAAACAACAGGGGGAGTCTTTACTAAAAAATAAACATGATGCTTCATTTCTACTAAATGGAACTTGTGTTATGAGGGTCATTATGGTGTCATAATGTAAAGTTTGGATGATGTTCCTGATTATTTGAGAAACAGATATAGAAAAACTGTATATGTCTTAAATAATATTCAATGAATGTGCTGCCATAATTTAGATTATTCTTCGTTAAGAAATAAAAGTCACTTATTGCTAAAAAAAAAAGAGGAAATACAAATGGCAAACATGCATACGAAAAGGTACTCAATATCACTGATCATCAGAAAAACGCAAATCAAAGGTACAATGAGATATCATTTCACCCCAGTTAACATGGCATATATCCAAAAGACAGGCAATAACAAATGCTGATGAGGATGTGGAGAAAATAGAAACCTGGTATGCTGTTGGTGGGAATGTAAATTAGTACAAACATTATGAACAATAGTTTGAAGGTTCTCCGGAAACCATATGATCCAGCCATCTTACTGCTGGGTATATACCCAAAAGAAAGGAAATCAGTACATCAAAGAGATATCTGCACACCCATGTTTATGGCAGCACCATTCACAACAGCCAAGATTTGGAAGCAACCTAAGTCTTTCTCAGCAGACAAATGGATAAAGAAATTGTGGTATATTTACACAATATAGTACTAATTGGCCATAAAAAATTACATCCTGTCATTTGCAACAGCATAGATGGAACTGGTGGTCACTATGCTGGCTGAAATAAGCAAGGCACAGAAGAACCAACTTTGCATAGTCTCATTCATTTTTGAGAACTAAAAATTAAAACAACTGAGCTAATGGAGATAGAGTATAATAATGATTACCAGAGGCTGGGAAGGGTGGTGGGGCATATTAGGGGAGAATGTGAAGATGGTGCCAAAAAATAGAGAGAATAAATAAGATCTAGCATTTGACAGCTCAACAGTGTGGCCATAGTTAATAATAATTTAATCCTATATTTTAAAATAACTAAAACAGTATAATTGGATTGTTTTTAACAGAGGATAAATCCTTGAAGTGATGAATATCCTATTTACCCTGAAGTGATTATGATACATTGTATGCCTGTATCAAAATATCTCATGTACTCAATAGCTATCATCTCAATATGTATCTCACAGCTATCGTCTCTCACTTTTTTATATACCTGCTCTGTACCCAGAAATTAAAAATATGCTCAAAAATTTAGTAGAAACATCCCTACATAGTAATGTGGTATACTAGTCTCTACTTCATATTAGTACCTTATTGATGATTTCCAAAATAACTGTTTAAACTATTGATATGTATGTACCCTGTTACTAATATCTGAAATGTTTTTCTTTACAAATTTATTTTTTTTTCTTTTAAAACAGGTGGCAATGTGAAGTCTTCCTTGATTCTGGTGATTTTTATAAATCAATACCTTGGGGCTGCCTTAGTATTTTATTGATTTTTCCACTGCATCTTTACCACTTGAACTTTACATTATTGCTTTACGGGACTGTTCCCTTTACTGCTACACAGCAGGGGACAACTTGCAAATCATCCTTGTATAAACAGCCTTTACGTATTCTACTCAGCAATTATTTATTGAGTCCTGCTAAGTGTCAGGCACCGGGGCTTAAAGAATAAAAATGAAGTATATAGAAATGGCTTTTCTAGAGATCATGCCTGAGATGAACAAGAGTGAAGCTAGCCGGATTAAAAGGGGTAGAGGACAAAAAAGAGTGAGAGCATGTCAGGCAGCAAGAGAGGGAGAGAAGCCTGAATGAGCATATGTATTTGCCTACAGTAGAGTAATGGACCAGCAGGGCATGACCCACAGTTCTATAATGCCAGAGAATGGGCATCCAGGGAAAAGGGCTGAAGATGGAGAGGTGGGAAGAAGTCAGATTATAAAATCTTTATGTGGCATTTTAAGATGCTTGGATATTAATGTTCTTAAGAGTAGTCTCTGGTTCTATTTGAACTGGTGATAGATCACTCTAAATGCTAAAATTAATATTTCTAGTGAATACAGTAACACAAGGTGATGGCTCATGTGGACACAGTGGAGGAGATACTATGCAGCAAATTCTCAATGATTCGCACAAATACTTAGCCAATTCTATAATAAATAAAGTCATATGAATTATAAGAAATCACTAAATATTTGGTTTTGAAAGGTGCTTTTTAAAGTTATAGTACGTATCATTATTACTTGTGCATTGATAGCTATAAAAACAAAGCAAGATAGGCTGGATGCGCGCGCACCCGGGTGGGGGCTGGGCGGGGAATCCACTGCCTCCCGGAACAGGAGGAGCGGGAGAGCGCGGCCGGCGACTGCGCCATAGAGCAGGGGGCCCAGGGCAGCTTTCTCGCCCAGTCCCCGGTGAGCGGCATGCGCAGGGAAAGCGCTCGGGGCGGCGGCCGTGGCCCGGGGCGGTGGAAGCAGGCGCACCGGGGCGGCGGCGTCTGTGGCCGTGGCCGGCCCCTGAGTGGGGGCAGCGGCCTTGGTGGCGACGGCGGCGGCGACAGCAGTGGCGGCGGCGCCACCCGGCGGGAGCCGATCCCTTTCCCGTCGGGGAGCGCGGAGCCAGGGCCCAGGGGACCCTGGGCCACAGAGAGCGGGAAGAAGATGGACTGCCCGGCCCTCCCGCGCCCCCGCGCCGCCCATGGAAGAAGGAGGAAGTGATTCGAAAATCTGGGCTCAGTGCTGGCAAGAGCGATGTCTACTACTTTAGTCCAAGTTGTAAGAAGTTCAGAAGCAAGCCTCAGTTGGCAAGGTACCTGGGGAATATTGTTGATCTCAGCAAATTGACTTCAGAACTGGAAAGATGATGCCTACTAAATTACAAAAGATCAGAGACTGCGAAAGATCCTCTCAATCAAAATAAGTTTGTGTGCACTTTTTCTGCTCTAGCTGCGCTGGACCACTCATCGTTCTGCACCATGGCATGCGCTTTCAAGACTCTGCTTGCTCATATGCTGTGTGCTCTGCTTGCAATGTGCTTGCCCACTTCCGCTCCATCTGGCGAACTCCTACTCATCCAAGACCCAGCTCCATTGTCTCCATCTCTGGGAAGCCTGCCCTGCATACTCCAGGCAGAACCAATCCCTTCTTCCATAATGCTTCCCTGGTGCTTTGCCATTGTATTTGTGACTGTTTGTCTGCTTCAGCTAGAATGTGAGCTCCATGAGGGCTGGGACCATGTCTGTTTTTGTTTTTGTATATGTAGCCAAAGCCTAGCACATGGTAGGAACTTAATAAATATTGCTTTATGTTTATTTGATTTACTGTCCACCTCATTTGGGAAGTGTATAGTGGTAATAAATGTTTATTAAATAAATAAATTATATAGCAGAAAGAAAAAAAAGCAAGATCTCAACCTAGTTTTCCGTCCATTCCCTAAATTCTAAATATATTCCTGGTATGCTCAAGTTTACGTTAAATACTACCCTAAAACAAAATCACTCTTTCTCCCAAGTCTCTTTGTTGTTTATTTGTTGCTTTGGTTAAAGAAAGAATACAAATGGCCATCTAGAAGGTGTTCTGTTTAGTTCTAGGTTGCAGAAGGGGAGTAACCACAAAGTACCCAAAATCATTTTTTTAAGTTACAACTCAGGTATTATGAAGCCAAGTCGAGGTACTCTAGGATTGAATTCTCTGTGTTTATTACCTTCTTTCATACCTTTGTCTTCTGATAACTTTGATTCACAGAAGTTGTGGACATTGTCATTCTCGATCATAACTACAACTCCAATATTCAACTTTTCTTCATCTATTGAGTTTGTCTGTCTCAGTTCTGTGGATGCCAACTTCTTTTCCGTCACTGATGGTGATTCAGATGGACATTTATCATCACCTTTCAAATGTTCAGATCTTTGACTAGTCTTTTTTTGAGGTTCAAACTAGTAGAATGCCAGTCTGAAAAATATGAAGATAGAGTTTTCATTTATTAGGATGTAAATACCACAAGTTGGACAAACTTGTATATATTCCTTCTTCACAGAAGCAGTCCCATGTCTTCTTCTTACTGAAAAACACACTATTCAGTCAGGGCTTATTATACTTTACACATCCTATGCTTGTTTACAAGTCATTTAGGTAAGTCTCAATAGCTATAATCTCTCACTTTTCTCTACATTTGTATTTTTACTATTACTTACATTGATTCACTCAGCAATCTCCATTACATATTTTGCCTTCTGTGAGAACTTGGTTTATTAATACTTAAGATTCTTCACATCAGGTTTTAAAAATTCTTAATAATTAAGATTCTTTGTATGAATTTTTATAAACAAATTTGCATATAGCCATTTTAAATTTAAGTATCCATAAGAGTATTGTGTTATATGTGTTCTAAAGATATGGGTTTTACAAAACTTCTAATGAATACACTTTAAATAAGAAACTACTTTAATTACAATGTGATAGTCTTTCCTCCATGCACTTATATCTTCAGAATTCACTTTTTCATAGGCCTAGGATAAATATCATAAATTTATATTAAAATGGTAGGCTTAAGGTACCTAATTTTTCCCATGTACAAATAGGGTAAGTCTAGAACCACAGTAGATCCCAAGTGCACAGTGTTTTCAGACAGAAAATGAATATATAACGAAAATATTTTCCTATTTTCTCTACGAATAAAATTACCAAACTTTTTTTAAGACAAGGGAAAGGAAAAATATAGAAGTGACAACTTAAAGGCCATTTCATCATCAAGAGCCCATATGTTTGGTTTAAAATCATGCTTCAAATTGTGATCTGAGAATCTCTGGAGTTCAAGATCCAGTCAGAAGATCCAAAAGGTCAAATAACACAAAATGTTATTTTCCATTATCATTCTCATTCTCTTAGAAATGAAAAGTGGAGTTTTTCAGAGATGTCATAAGACAACCTCATAGTTCTAATGGTCAATGGGTTATAGTTCTGATGGCTATTAAAATGTATGACTATGCATGCTTGTAGTTTTAAATTTTTAGTTTTAATTTCTAAAATAGTAAGTATCAATAGATATAACCCACTTAAACAAAAGCTTTATGGAATCTGCAATCTTTTTTTTTCAGCATAAACAGGATTTAATTAAATCAGGTCCAGTTATATGATGGATAACTTAAATTAAACCAGAGCTATTTATGTCAATATGGATTGACCTCAGAAATACAATGCTGACCAAACAAAAGAAATTTGCAGAATGGCATGTCTAATATATAACCATTTATATCCAAGTTCA